AAACTTAGGATGGAGGGAGAGGGAGGGGGAGGAGTTACTACTCTGACTCATTCATTTGGTTGTGTAAATTTAAGTTTAAACTACTGAGCTCTGTAAACAATGAGCTTTGTATAAAAGTGGGGAAAGAGATAAAGAAAAACATAAGAAGAAGCCTTAGGCCTCATGCACACTACTGTTCCAAAAAACTCACATTTAGGAGCTTTTGGTGTTTTTTGCCAAAGTCCCTGAACTCAATTCAATAAAAGCCTATGTGTCCATGGACAGCACACATAGGCTTTTACCAGAGTTTAGGAGCAGCAGAGTTGGAAGGCAGGTAATTGTTCCTGAATGCAGAAGAATTGTGTTCAGGAGAGGAACGTTTTGGCAAAAAAAAGCAAAAACGTGTGTAAACCCATGTAAATGCAAGCGCGAGCCATGTTTAGAGCTTGAACGTTTAATCATTTCAATGGTAAATATTCTGGCCAATGAAATTAATTAATGTCTAAGTGCTAAATGCTGTACCACGTTTACATGAGTTTCTTCTATGTTTAGTGTTTTTCTGCTGCCAGGAGAGTTAACATCGAGGGGTATTCCAGTATGCATGTAGATTTAAAGCAGTTTTTCACTCCTGTAGCTGTTGACATTTAATAAAAGGATACTTACCTGTCCAGGGATCCAGAGCCAGAGAGGGGGACTGAACTTACCTAGGTGATCTGAGCGGAAGTGGGAGCGGGTACCTGTCAAATCTAAGTACCTGCTCCCCCCCCCCCACAAAAATGATATGCCCAAATATAGTAGAGAAGGGGGAAAGGAGAAATTAAATCAGAACTTTTTCAACCCTTTTGGGTGAAGTTCCGCTTTAACCTGATAGCAGAAATCAGAATGCATAATATTAATATGCAATATTTAAATCTTCAAATCTGGTAAGCCTAGCAGTCAGGGACAGCAGCACCTTAGATCAGCCTTTCTCAACCCTGGGGTGCTTTAAGGTTTGTTCTGGGGTGCCTTGGCAAAATGCCTAAAATTTGCCCAAAACTTGTATACAAGTCAGTAGGTGGAACAAGCCTGCCGTTTAGTTACACAAAGCCACAGGTTTTCATTGTGCACCATTATGACCTTCTAGCCGCCGGTGTCCTGACATCCAATTACATCAGTTGATAAGCTGCTTACAAAGCATCCTACTTTGACCCTCCCCTGCCCCTCTCCATCAGTGCTGGGGTCACCAGGGGCGGACTGACCATTTGGAAACTCGGGCACTGCCCGAGGGCCCGGGTTCAGTAGGAGGCCCCATGAGATACCGCTGGTACCTTTTTCATAGGCTTTTGTGAGTTTGGGCAAGGACACAGGGGCTCCATGATCCCCTATTGCCCGGGGGCCCCATCAGTTGTCAGTCCGCCCCTGGGGTTCACATTAGCTCAGTGATGAAGAAAAATTGAGGGAGAGGACTCAGAGGAGGAATACTGGAATACTAGTCAGCACCAATCTGCAAAAGTGTATTTGCTTTGGAAGAATAAATCACCTCTAACACTGGGTGTCCTACATGTGTGGATGTTGCTGCATTATATAAACTATTAGGATAGTTTTAAACATTTTACTCAAGACTTTCCATAATTTTAAAGGGTGCCTCGGGACCAAGGGCGGACTGACCATTTGGAAACTCGGGCCCTGCCCGAGGGCCCGGGGTCAGTAGGGGGCCCCATGAGATGCCCCTGGTACCTTTTTCATAGGCTTTTTTGAGTTTGGGCAAGGACACAGGGGCCCCATGATCCCCTATTGCCCGGGGGCCCCATGAGTTGTCAGTCCGCCCCTTCTCGGGACTGTTCATAATTTTAAAGGGTGCCTCGGGACTGTTCATAATTTTAAAGGGTGCCTTGACTGACAAAAAGGTTGAGAAACACTGCCTTAGATGAACTCATACTGTACAGCTATGACGCTTTAGAACAGCAATACCTAGGCAGAGTCACATCAGAAAGTACACAGATATTTTTCAGTGGGAATTTAGGGCAAAAAAGTACTGCTCAAGTGCAATTAATATTTCTAGATATTCACTATAGAATAGCAAATCCTATCTGCTAAGTGAATCTATTGCTATCTCCTATAAGTATTTCTTTATAATATTCTCCCTTGTTGACTCTTACCAGTTTTAATTACAATGTGTATTTTTACAAAAGTGTAATAAATGTTTCATTTCCAAACAGACTAAGGTTTGTGCTTAAAAAGGGAAATGTTTGGTCTTGACCCTCTTGACCTGCTTTCTATGTGCAGTCACCAAATTTAAATACGTTGCTCCGGTTAAGATTTCTGTGGAATGTTGCAGGTGATTTGTACAGACTCCAGTATGTGAGGAATTCTGTACACCTGCGGGAAGAACTGGCATGTGTTTTATCTGCCCCTTACAGTGTTTTATTTGAAAACTCTGATTGTTGACATTTTTTACAAATTAGTAATAGAACTTCTTTCTATTTTATCTCTTAAAGATAGAATACAGAATGTTATTAGAGTTATTTCTAAGTTGTTTTGTAACATCCACATTTTTCATATGTATTTCTAACAAAAATACAATTTCCTTGCCCCCCAAAAAAGTAAAACCCAGGGGCGGACTGACAACTCATGGGGCCCGGGCAATAGGTGATCATAGGGCACCTGTGTCCTTGCCCAAACTCAAAAAAGCCTATGAAAAGGGTACCAGGGGCATCTCATGGAGCCCCCTACTGATCCTGGGCCCTCGGGCAGTGCCGGAGTTTACAAATGGTCAGTCTGCCCCTACACCCCAAAGATGTTATTCAGTTTTGGATAGAGAGAGCAGGGTTAGGACTCCTGTCAAGTTTCTGTCTCTGTTTCCCTTTGATCTTCTCCCACTTCCTGACCATTTGATGGGTGTCGGAACAGGGAAAATCTCCCTAATGAGTACACAGACAGCAATAAAAACAAGTTTTTGCTAGTGGAAAATGGAAGGGTTCGAACCTCTCAGAATTGTATTGTTGTGGTCTACTAAAGAAGATTGCACTTCATGACTTGCCCCAGTGGTGGGTGACTGAATGTGCAGGAAATAAGGAGAAATATTCTCAATGGGGACACAGACAGCAGACCTAACAGATGTTCTAATACCATTCAATCCAGTGAGAGAGCATCTATAGATGTCTCCTCTTAGGCACAGTGGAGTTAATTTACCAATGTTGTAGAGTAGTGTGTATTGACTTTGCAAAGTGAACTTTCACTTAACTTAGTAAGGTAGAGCTGTGCTGAATTTAAAGTGGTTCTAAAGGCTCAAGATAAAAAAACCTTCTCTGTGCAGCACCCCCCCTAATACTCGCCTAAGTCCCCTCTTGATCCAGTGATGTGTACTGGAGTAAAATTTTTCATATGTATTTCTAACACAAATACAATTTCCCTGCCCCTAAAACAGTAACACCCCAAAGTCCTCTAAATATCAGTGGGGCCCAATGTCCTGATGAAGTCCCTATGCTAGAATGAAATGAGTTGACGTCATTACACACACACCCTCCCCCCATCAAACCCATGTGCTCATGGACCATCCTTCCATTGATATACTGTATTTCACTTGGCTTTGCAATTGCTAACGATATATTATGAATGACTGCTTATTTGTGGAAATTATCATTGCAGAAATAGAAGACAGTATACTTGATCAGACTTGATTAAACAGTGACATCTTTGGTCCTGAGGGTTTTAATAGATCTAAAGTAATTGCATAAAATATTGTCATACCCATGGATTACCTACAGTATATTTATCAGCACCAGGGGAGGAACATATTTTTTTCTTTAACCTGTTTGCGGGAAATTGGCTTTGAGTAAAACATGTTCTTTCCCTTCTCATAGGGACCACAGTGTTAGGATCACATCTATTTGTTTATGAATCTTATATTACACATTGCTAGTATGTGCATTTAGGATGAAATCCTAAGGATAGTATTTAGGTCTGTTGATTTCTTGGTATAGAATTGATCCCACAAAGCATGATAAGATTAGGGGGTACCCATTAATTTTTGTAATCTTTCAGTGTAAACAAGATTCCCCATCCCTTTATTAATGTAATTAACTACCTCTGAATGTTCTACCAAAACTCCAAAAATCAAAATTACTTCTATGTCACATGGTGAATACTGGACCCCATATACTTCTGAAAATACTTTAAGCTTTGAATGCTCATGCATGCTATAGATTTTAATCAACCAAACTCTGTCTGCTTTCCCTTCACCTTGGGGTGGGTAGGATATATTATTAAAGGAACTAAAATGCTAACATAAGTGAATAATAACTCTGGTATTGATGAAAAAAGAACCTGCTAATTAGTTTGAGGAATTGACTGAAATACAAGTAAGTCTTGGGGAAAAGAAACAAGCTTACAACCTATAGAAAGGCTTGCTACTGTTCCGTGTTCTCTAATGTGTTTCCAAAACCAATTTTTATGTTTTGGATAAAGTGGTAATGTTTTGAAACCTTGGTCAGATTCTGCTGTCTGTGTCAATGCTGGGGAGATTCACGCTTTAAAAATTTTATAGCTTGGCTAGTTGAATCAGCAGCTAACGTTGCCTTTCTCAAAAGGTACCCATACTCTATTTTTAAACCTTTTGACTTTTTTGAGCCAACATCACTCCAGTCCAACTTTCAGCATTGCATTGAACTTTGATGAAGGGGTCTCTCAGAGCCACAAAGCATGATGGCTAGTTTCTTGAAGTTATTCTGTGATAAAATTGAATTATTTTCACTCTCAACCATTCGTTTGGTGTTTCTTCTCTAAATCTTTTGTTTTATAATGTTTTATAGTTGCCATTAGAACAGCTGGTGAAGGAAATCTTCCAATGGAGGACAATTGTTCTGATGACAACTGTCTGGCTGTCCCCTATCATCACCTGTTGTGTCCTCAGGAACATGAAGTGATAGGAAATCTCCCCAATGGGACAACAAAAAAATAAAATAAATAATACTTAATATAATAAATATACTTTTTTAGAAAATACAGTTCAGAAGCTGGTTGTATAGTAAACTCTTACTCACTCTTTCATTCTCATGTCAGCAAAAGCACAACAATGACTGGGATAGGTTAGTCGAGCCTCCAACAGGTTAGCAAGCTTGTCAAGAGCAGGTAATTTCTTTAGATAATATGATCTTTCTGCAACTAAGACCTGGATAAATTCCAGTCCATGGACAGGGAGGTGCTCTAAGGCTGTTGATGATATGTCTCTGAAAGGCAAAAATAAGATCACTCAGTGTATCTTTATCATACGTTTTTCATCCAAGATAAAAAAAAAAATATCGACACTTTCGTGTAAATATCAGGAATTGAAATGACTGAAATTGTGATCATGGTTCATAAAACAGAGGTTGGAGACCCCTGACCTTTGTAGAAAAAAAATTACTGATATGAAAAGGGCACTAAATCTTTCAACTCAGATTTATCCTCCATCCATAGGTGTGAATTTTAATAGAGATGAAGTATAATTCTGGATTAGTGCATATTGATTTACTTACGTCTAGAGGTAAATCATATCTGCAGAGGTGATCTATTTTTCTGGTTCAATAATGTTTATTGTTGCAGCAAACATAGAACTTACAGTAGATTACCTATGCAGGGGGAATACAATAAAAATTGAGGCAAGAAAGCATGAGCGAATTAATGTGCAACAGTTGTTTTACGTTAAATTTGCTAATGGGTGAATGCACAGACAAAGTCTTCAGACTACACATGTTTCTTTGGCCCTAGGGTTCAGGGGTATACCAAAATATAAAAGAAGTAAAGGATGAGAAGGGGGAGGCTAGAGAACCAGCGTGCCAGTCCTAGTGGGGGAGATAGAGAAGAAAAAAGAAGAGGAGGAAGATTCTAGCAGGGAGAAGGTTAAGGAAGGGGGGGGGGGGTTACTGCAGGCTCAGGCGATGGCATCAGCAATGGAAGGCCACCAAAGCTAGTCGGCTGAAAGGTAGGCAAGACAAACAACCACCAGGGTGTCCAAACTTTCAGGAATTTGGCATGGGAGTCATGCATGATGCTGGACATCTTTTAATTTATCATGGGGGTGGTCAGGTTGCCTTTCACTGCTGCAAATGATACAGAAGGCGTCTTCCAAGCCCTGCCTATGGCATAATTTGCAGCAATAAATAAGTAGGTAGCAAGTTTTTGTTGATGTGAATATAAGCCTGGGATTGGACAATGCAGTAGTGCTTGCTTAGCATCCTTTCAGATAGGCACATGGAATAACGTATGTAGGAACCGAGGTGATCTTATTTTATCACATCTAGAAAAAAGATTTTTCTGTGCAGAAAGGTTTACTTATCCTTTCTTTCAAAGACAATAGACAGAAGTTAAATACCGTATAAAAATCCATTCTGACTTTGATCAATGACCAAAAAATTAGGCACGAATGGAAATATAACCAGATTTGTGGCATTCAGGCTACTCAGCACTCACAGTGAACCTTAATAGTTGAGAACTACTTCCATCACAGTCCACGTGGATTATAATGGAACTGAGCTTGAACATCCCCACCTTTTATTTACAGATGAGTGGCATCAGGAGTAACCATGAAGACCCAATCAGGCCATATGGAAAACTCAATCAGTGCTACAATGTGTGAAGGAACTTTAACCCTGCATGAACCTCTGTCTTAAAGTGTATGTAAAGTCAAAGCGATTTTATAAAGTTTTGGATAAAGTGGGGAATGGTTAGAACCCCTATCAAAATTGTATTACTGTCTTTGTCTCTGCTGGATGTATCACCATCTGTATTGTCCTAATTACCATTGTGACAGGTGCCATCAGATCAAGAGGTTAGAATAAATCTTCAAAACAGGTTGCCTGTTTCAGTTACAACTGTCTAAAAGGAAAATTTCTCACACTTGTAGAACATTTCTTTCTATTTCAATACATTTCTAGGACAGGAAGTAGAATTTCCTCATCAGGACAAAGATAGCAAACAATAAACCAACAGGGGTTTTAACCATTCCATATATTATCCAAAGCAGAAAATGACTATACATACATTTCAAATAGTCAAACACTAACAGAAAAAAAGCCACCATGGCATATCAGTATCCTGTTCCCAACATGGTTCCACCCACTGAACTTATTTGAGATCAAAACTTATTTAATGTAATGTAATGATATGCTCTTTATTGCATTTGAAAGATTATTGGTTCATTTGACCTTCCAAATATAAACTGACTTATATAGTTACATAGTTAGTCTGGCTGAAAAAAGACAAAAGTCCATCTAGTTCAACCATAAAAAAAAAAAAAAAAATCCTATATCCACAGTTTATCCAGAGGAAGACAAAAAAAACAGCAAAGCATGATCCAATTTGCTCCTGCAGGGGAAATAACTCCTTCCTGATCCCCTGAGAGTCAATCGGATATTCCCTGGATCAACTTTACCTATAAATGTTAGTATCCAGTTATTTTCTGTGTATCTAGGAAAGAATCCAGGCCTTTATTAAATCAATCCACTGAGCTGGCCAGAACCAACTCTTGAGGGAGTCTATTCCACATTTTCACAGCTCTAACTGTGAAGAAACCTTTCCGTATTTATAGATTAAATCTATTTTCCTCCAGAAGAGTGCCCCCTTGTCCTCTGTGATGATCTCAGAGTGAATAACTCTACACCGAGTTCACTAATTGAACCACTGATGTATTTATACATGTTTATTATATCCCCCCTTAATCTTCTCTTCTCAAGAGAGAATAAATTCAGTTCCTCTAATCTTCCTCATAGCTGATCTCCTCCATGCCTCGTATCAGTTTGGTTGCCCTTCTCTGTACTTTCTCCAGTTCCCCAATGTTCTTTTGTGAATCGGTGCCCAAAACTGAACTGCATATTCCAGATGAGGTAATACTAATGATTTGTACCGGGGGAAATGATATCTCTCTCTGGAGTCTATACCTCTTTTAAAACAAGAGAAGATTTTGCTCACTTTAGAAACTGCAGCTTGGCATTGCATGCCATTATTAAGCTTGTGATCTACCAGAACCCCCACATCCTTCTCCACCATTGATCCCCCCAGTTGTACCCCCCCAGTATGTATGATGCATGCATATTCTTAGCCCCAAGTGCAGAACCTTACATTTATCAACATTAAACCTCATTTGCCACATAGTTGCCCAATTACACAGAGCATTGAGGTCGGCTTGTAAGTTGGAGACATTCTATAAGGTTAATATGTTCTTTCTAAGTTTGTCTTTAAATTTTAAATCATATTAACAGCAGTAAAATTTATATGATGCTTGTGTCTTAATAAAGAAATACATTTTCAAGTAGATTGGACTTTATTCCCTAATGAAATTGTGACCTATATATACTGTACTTAATTTGGACTGATGGGCACTCAAGGCACCACATTTCTTTTATCCAAAGATAGAAATTCACCTTATGGGACTTTACAGGTGCAAAAAAAACCCAAAACAGACCACTTTCTTGAATTTAAAAAAAAACACAGTATTTTATTATACAGATAGTTAAAAAAAATAAATAAAACTTTAAAAGTTCACATATGAAGAATAAAATAATTAATCATCAATTGATTGTGGTAGACTATAATGCCTAACAATTGTACGAATCCCTTTGATTCTACCTCACAATACAATCATTATATATTAAGGTTTACAAAGATCCTTAATTCAAGTGTTTTGTCTGAAATTTAAAATGAATATTTGAGTTAGGATTTGCTCACTTCAAAATGTTTCATGCTTGGTTTTGGGGACCACAAGCCCAGGGCCAGAACCCTTCCTTGGGAGGGACCATATAGGAAGACAATGGGGACAAGGCTATCATCCATGGAGTGTGATGATGTTATGATTATCGATATGTAGAGGTACATTAAGTAATAAACATGAATTTAAAAATGTATGTATTTGAGTGTCTGTATGCTGTTACCTGCTATCTACTAATACTTTTACAGTTCAATCTGTGTTCTGTCATTGGTCCATTGACACAGGTTGAAGCCTGATTTTCACAATCTACAGGAAAATATATATGCTCATATATTAATATCAAATCACACATAGTCCTGTACAAGTACTGCGTAATTGTACTTGACCTACTGTATAGGGTGTGTATTATGTGAAGTTGAGTGCCATTGTACTATACTTATCATTGGTTCTATAATGCTACAGATTGCCTTTGCCTTCCTGACGGAGCCAAATGTGTAATGCATTGGAAGTGAGCAACTCCCAACTCAGACATTGATTTTAATTTTCATATATAATACTTGAAGCAAGGATAGTCATGGTGGAACCTCTTTTTGTAAAACCTATTATATGTAGATTGTAATGTGTGTAATGTGTAATGTAGCGCTCAAAGATATTGGTACAATTATGAGACATTATAGTCTACCACAATCAATGGATAGATCTTTTATTCTTCTTTTATTCCTCAGATGTAAACTTTTTAAGATTTTTTTTTTTTTAAATGATTCAAACACATTACCAGTGCTCGAGTACTACAGGATATTGGTTGGGCGTAACACATGGTATTCTTCTCATTCACTATTCCAGTTCACATGATGCCTCAAAACCATTCAGTCTGACAGCACTCTTCACATCTGGGAAATCTTGAAGCTGCACTAATTCACAAAGATAGAGAGTGCACTGGCATTGTACAGCACCAAAGACACCACTTTATCTATAAAATCCAATAAAATACTAACGAAAAAAATAATATAATATGACAACCAGCACATCTTATAGACAACACCTCCTTATATCTTAATTCCTAAATTGATTCATGGTAAACTGTAAATGAAACATTTTGAGGACAAGCCCTCTTCCTCAGAGCTGCCTACTTGCACTGGTGCTTATTCTTAAATATTCTTCACTCCCCTTAACCAACCTCAAAGAAGCAGTAGGTTTTGTCTATAAGATATGATAGATGGTTATATGCCCTTTATAATTTTACTTGTTTTTGAGTATTTTATTGGGTTTTATAAATAAAGTAATGTTTTAGGTAATGCTCAAGACTGATGCTGGTAGAGTGAGAAGCCCTCTTATTTCCTGTCACCATTCAAGTGCAATACCCAGCTGGGAACCCATATAGCAACTAGGATTGGGACCACCATGGCATTGAGATCGACCAATTTCACCACATATGGAAATGGGGCCTTTTCTCAATCGGTGCTCATGGAATTTTGCTTGGTTCTATCCATATAGGTCACTACAATATCACCAGAGGTACGTAACTTTTTTCTATTCTTCTTATTGCTTCTCTTAATTGAGGAAATGCCTACATTTAGATATATACTACACCAGTGTTTCTCAACCTTTTTTCAGTCAAGGCACCCTCTTAAATTATGGATAGTCCTGAGGCACCCTTTAAAATTATGGACACCCCAGTCCTGAGGCACCCCATTCTAAAATGTAAAAAAACTGTTCAGTTTTATATAATGCAGCAACATCCACACATGGACACCCAATGCTAGAAGTGCTTTATTCTTCTAAATCAAATACACTTTTTTCACATTGGTCCTGACTAGTATTACAGTGTTTCTCTCAGTTTTACTCCATCACTGAGCTAATGTGACCCCAGCACTGATGGAGAGGGGCAGGGGAGGGTCAAACAAGGATGTTGTGCAGGCAAATGATACCCTCATTATGAACTGATGATGCAATTGGTTGTCAGGATGCCAGTGGCTACAAGGTCATAATGGTGAACAATGAAAACCTGTGGCTTTGTATAACTAAAAGGCAGGCTTGTTCCACCCGCTGGCTTGTATACAAGTTTTGTACAACTTTTAGACATTTTGCCAAGGCACCCCTGAAGAAACTTCAAGGCACCCCTGGGCACCCTGGTTGAGAAAGGCTGTACTACACTATAAATCACATCTCTCCTCTGTTTTTTCAGGGGATACCTCAGAAATTTCAATGGGTTTCCAATCTGCTTTTTAGGTTCAGCCCCTTGGATCTTTGAGGACCACAACTACCTGAATCCCAGATAAGGCTGGTGCTCTTTTTTTAGAAAATATAAAATACTGTGTTTTCTCATATCTGTTTTTTTTGCACCTGTAAAGTCCTCAGATTTCAAATTTGGTTCTCTAGTGAAATTGATTATGTATTCTATGGATATGGAAAAATGAAAAAAAAAAAAAAAACCGGTTTAAGGAATTATTAATATATGTCTTGAAGTGACAAAAAAAGAGAAATGATTATTGTACTTACAGACGATTTGGTCCAGTAGCTCCCTTTAAGGCATCATTATGGAAACGTTGTAGATTTTTGTTGTCATTAAGAAACCTGCATGCAACAGATATTAATTACAGTACATTTTCTCAATAGGGTTTCGGTTTTAATAGTCATCTCCTGCCTTGAGTGTAATGACTTCTCCTAGTGTTACACACAGGATTTAAAAGTGTCTAATTGTTGCTCATAGCCAGTTGACCAAAAGATCTACATTTATTTAAAACTAGAAATGTGGTACTTTTCAATGCTTATGACTTGAATTTTTAACTAAATATTATTATCTTCTTAAAATGGTTGTGGATAGATGACAGTCTTTCAATTTTATTTCCACTGCAATATTTATTACATCAAGTTAAAATATAAGTACATGTGTGATAAAATAAAATGTGCCTCTGTAGGCAGCGTTAATGCAGCAAATATGTAAAGAGAACCTGTAGTGTATTATCTGTGAGCACATACTTTGTGTTTTTACTGCAATTGTTATCTAAATGAAAAAAAATATATAGGTAGATATAAGACTCACATTAGGTAGTTGTAAGAGTCAGCAATTACCTACAGCCTAATAAGATACATATCTAGAGTAGTGATGGGCCGAACACCCCCATTTTAGGTTGGTGGTCAAACATTCGAACCTATGGTAGTTCGAATGCAAACTTCAAAATGGGACAATTCACTAAGAAGCATCTGGGTATGTGATAGGATACCGCACAGCTACTAAAATACCGAACGAGTTATATTATTAAGTCATGCAGTATTTTAGTAGTGAAAACATTCTTTAATGTTTCATCTGTCAGCAGGGTTTCCCCACTGACAGCTGAATGGAAAAAGAAATGCCAGCATTGCCTGGCAATGAAAAAATAAAAACCGCAAGGGATCCCTCCCCATCCATACCAAGCCCTTTGGTCTGGTATGGATTTTGAGGGGAATCCCCACACCTGAGCAAGCACCATCCCCCCCCCCCCGAACCATACCAGGACACATACCCTCAACATGGGGGGGTGCTTTGGAGCAGGGGGCTCCACCCGAAAGCACCTTGCCCCCATGTTGATGGGGACAAGGGCCTCATCCCCACAATCATGGCCGGTGGTTGTGGGGGTCTGTGGGTGGGGGGCTTATTGGAATCTTGAAGCCCCCTTTACTAAGGGGGCCCCCATATCCCGCCCCCACATGTGAATGAGTATGGGGTACATGGTACTGCTACCCATTCACAAAAAAAAAAAAAAACCGTAGTTAAAAAATGACAGGAGACAGTCTTTGACAAGTCCTTTATTAAAAACGAAAATAAAAACAATGTGCCCCAAAGTTGATCCAATGTCAATCACAATGCCAGCCGCCACCACCAACCCGAACAAAAGACAAAAAAAAAAACATCTGTCCTCAACGCTGGCTCTGTTGACTCCAATTATTTCTGGAAAAAAAGGCCTCCAGCTCTCACTGAGCTGGGACCTCGAACTTATGCACACTTCAGCTACACTGCCCAGAAGGGCAGTAGCCCTTCAGGCTGGGGTTTGCTGTTCCTGGACAAGAACCCTGCTGCTTCAGGCCTCAAACTATCTATGCACTCCTCCGCCACCTACTGGGCATTCTTATCCAGGGATTGGCTGAGACCACATAAATATTCAGGCCAATGATCTACCTATTCCAACACACTACATTCTAGAATTCTCTAGAAGGAGCAGAAAGTTGGACCTGCAGCCAGTGAGACCAGAACAGCCAAAAATAATCACACACCACTCCCATGAATACAGAGGAGCCAAAGGGATAGATTTACCTGAACCTATTCTAGGGGGGTGCTACACATAGGTATTTGTAAGCACCACATCTATAATTCCATAAATCTAAACAACAAAAAAGATGGGACACTATAGGTGTTATAGGTAACACTTGCCGAATCAAGATATACTTTTCTATGCACCACATATGGTGTATACTGATGAAGGTTATATCTTGGCCCACGTGTAAGGACATCATTTTTTGGGGTGGTGTTTCTCTTGGAAACCTTTAATCAGATGTGCCATGTACAGTGAAGGAAATAAGTATTTGATCCCCTGCTGATTTTGAAAGTTTGCCCACTCACAAAGAAATGATCAGTCTAAAAATTGAATGGTAGGTGTATTGACCCAAAACACGGCCAAGGCAACAAAGGAGTGGCTCAAGGAGAAGCACATTAAGGTCCTGGAGTGGCCTAGCCAGTCTCCAGACCTTAATCCGATTGAAAATCTTTGGAGGGAGCTGAGAGTTCAAGTTGCCAAACATCAGCCACCAAACCTTAATGACTTGGAGAGGATCTGCTAAGAGGAGTGGGCCAAAATCCCTCCTGAGAAGTGTGCAAATCTGGTGGCCAACTACGGAAAACATCTGACCTCTGTGATTGCCAACAAGGGATTTGCCATCAAGTACTAAGTCATGTTTTGTGAAGGGGATCAAATACTTATTTCCCTCATGAACATGCAGATCAGTGCATAATTTATTAGACATGCATTTCTTTTGAATTTTTTGTTGCTATTCTGCCTCTCTGTTACAATACACCTACCATTCGATTTTTAGACTGATCATTTCTTTGTGAGTGGGCAAACATTCAAATATAGGAAGGGGATCAAATACTTATTTCCTTCACTATATATATTTTTGGACTAACGAGTCTCTAATTGTTGTCTAAATGTCTCTAATTATTACCATTTCTGGCCACTTGGGGGTCTCCTCTTTCTCTTCTAGTGACCCTCCATATGGGGTTCTGGATTCTTCATTCCTTTCACCGCTGCAATATATTTACATTCCAAATGTGTGGTTACCTCTGCACTCCTGGTGAAGATATTTTTGAAACACGCTGAGTTTTGACTGCGCCGTATCCAATTTAAGCAGTAGACACCATACAATCGAACTATATTGGTGTTTCATAAGTACTTAATTGAATTTTCACAGTATTTACAGACTAGTCTTCATGTGCTAGTGTTACATGTTTTATATATAATGCAATATCTTGGATGTAATCTGTTTTTTCCTTACAATAGTTTTTAATTGAAGTTTTGTATAATATCTTCTTGATATATACATATTTTTAAGTGTATATAAACGTGTTCACATTGCTCCTTTAGATGTAGCACCTATAGAGTCCCATTGCTTTTTTTCTTTTCTTGTTTAGATTCATAGCAATTGTTTATTCATTAAAAAAACTTTTAAAGCCCATCTCTGGGCAAATTATGTTCTTTTTGACGAATTGCTACATATTACATAGGTAATCATAGGTACATAGTTACATAGGTAATCAAGTTAAAAAAAGACCCTCGAGTTCAACCAATCGAAACAAATAATAAAAAAAAATAAATAACAAAACCTGCATAAACAGAACCATAAAACCCCAGTTGATCAAGAGGAAGGCAAAAAAAATCTTTACAAAGCATGAACCAATTTGCTCCAACAGGGTAAAAATATGTCTCTCTTATTTCTTAAGACAATCAGAAAAATCCTGGATTACAGATCTAGTGCCCAAATTCAGATACCTGTTACTGTCCTCGAATCACTTATCCCACATCTGTCACTCAAATCATGGTTATGTAAAGTATCTCTGTAATTGATACCAGGACCACTTACATAAAATCATAGATTAGTTTCCCATAGAAATTGGGCTGATGATTAAAGAGCAAATATACTCACAGATCCAACATTTTCACTCTGTATCTCCTCTCCCTGAGATACATATTCGAGACCAGGTGTGGCAATTTTCTGTACAACCCCCGCACCTGTCACCAACTCCAGATAAAGGCTTCTGTCACATGGATGTTCCGATCAGGTCCTCTTGCCCGTTTTTCAGGTGGACCCGATCAGAGCCTCCGTTCCCCTCTATGGAGTGGCAGGTGTAAATGAACATATGTCCGCTTACACCCGCCTACATCCAATCTGGTCTGACCTGCAAAAAAGGGACGGATGGAGATCCAATTCCCATTTCATCTGGCAGATGGAAATGGACAGGTGGTCCGTTTTCAACCAACTTCCTATTGAGGAGAGCGAGCTGCTCCGTGTCCGCTTTGCAGCAGCTGAGCAAGCGGATCAGCTAAATGGGTCTACCCCGTGTGAAAAGACCCTAAGATGTTTTTTGTTAAATCAAAGCCATTCCTTAAATGGAAGGAGGATCCCACCGCTACTTTCACTGCCTCTCAATGGCACATGGCTCCTAAATCTATATATGACACAGTGTATTGTGTAAACCATTAGGAGTTGGCACAAAAGATCACTTTATGGTGGCATTGCACCCCAAGTTACCTAGCTCAGTTCTTACCCTCTTACATTTCCTCTAGGCTGATGAGGAGATGTGGTCAGACTGGAAAATTAATGCATAACCTATGGTCCTGTAAAAGCTTAACTAGTTTCTGGTGGAAAATGTTTCAGATTTCTGAAGTGACTGGTGTTCTAATAATCCCCCCTAAGCAATCTTTAGCTTTCTTAACCTCCCTGGCGGTCTGATTATTTCAGATTTTTGGTGCTGAAAGCGGTACCATTATTTTGCATGGAAATATGTAGTTTTTTTATTGTAGGCTGTAATTTTTAGGAATAACTCACTGAAATCTGTCCGAACAAGAATCTATTAAACATCCCGGGTATGATAAAATTTGAAACATCAAATCATAAATTATAATTTAATAAATAATCATAAAAAATAATAATATAATAATAATACATTTAATTCAATAATATAATCAAACCAAAAACACTGAAATTTGAAATAGAGCGCCAAGTTTGCACATCGCAGAGCAAAGTCGCAAAATCGTTTTCAGTGTCTGATGATGAATTTCCCCACAAATCATTATCACTCAATTCTGCAAGTGGTTCTGATTTACTATCGCTGTTCTCTAGCTGATCTAAAACCGCTTTTGAGCTAAAAGGACACTTTTTGGACGCCATGGACGTTTCTCAGTTTCCAGGCAGAAAGAACAGACAAAATGCAGGCAGGGCACAGGACAAAGCACTCGGGACAAAATGTATGTGAAATGGGTTTGAAACAGCAATGTTTTGCTATGTAAAATTTGTTTGG